AGAGATCCGTACTTCTGCACGGGTAAAATTATTTAATATGATATAAAAGATATTTAAACTTATATATATATTTAGTATAATATAAAATATATTTATATACGTATTTAAATTTGAAATTACTAATGATTATATAAATTCAATTGTATTAAAATACAAAGAAAAAAAAAACTCGTAAGATAAAAAAAGAATATTTAATATTTAAAAATAAGAACTTTATCTTTCAAATTAAGATAATTATTAATTAATATAAAATATGTATTGTGCTAATAGTGACCCGTGAAATAGAAAATTTATTTGATACAATGTAAATGTATTTATATAAATATGTAAATTTGAAATTAATTACTTAATTTTATTATATAAACTCAATTGTATCAAATAATTATGCAAAAAGGAAAAAAATGACTCGTGAGATAAAGAAAATTATTTTGAAAGTGACCTGTGAGATAAATAAAGTTTTAATTTTATTAAAATTAAAAAAATTGATTAATAGTATTTTTAGTGATAAATTAATAATAAATAGATAGAAAAAAATTAAAATGAAAGGGAAAAAGTGTGGGAAAAAGGAATGTGAGAAAAATTTGACATTTAAATTAAAAGAGAAAATGAGTGTCACTTGTCATGTTATAGTAGTAGATGAGAATGAAAAAAAAAGTAAATATTAATTTATTACTAAAATATTTTTTTGGTAGTATAAATAATTTGTGATAAAAAAAGTAATTTAGAGAGTTCATATAGTTGAATTTGTATATATAAATAGTAGATGAAAAAAAAATGTTTATTTTATCAAAACATGACAAATTTTAAATATTTATTTTATCAAAACATGACAAATTTTAGATATTTATTTGTTTGAATATTTTACGTGTATATATCTGAGTGTTTGAGCAATAAGCAAAGAGTTTTTCAAACGCACCCTCGTTTTTTCTTATTCAGCGCCTTATCTCCTCTTCTCCATAATCTTCAAATGTCAATTTCCATTTCCCCCAAAGAGGAAACAGCCCTAATCTCATGGCACAAAATCCCCCACATCAAATGCGACGTCGTTTCGCCCAATTCCCACTCCCCTCTCCGCCAAAACGCCACACTCACCTTTTCCTCCGTCGCATCCACCGCCGACACCAAATTCGCCTCTGTCTCCGTCTCAGATGCCAAACTGCATAACCATTTCGCGCCAACGCCTTCTCAGCTCCTCAAGCATCCCCTCGCCGTCTTGGCGTTTGTTCCCCGAGATGCTGCTCTATTCTCTGCCGGAGCCTTCGCTGGCGCCGCTGCTAAAACGTTCACCGCACCGCTCGACCGTATCAAGCTCCTCATGCAGGTGCTCAGAATGCATTTTTTTTTGTTAAATTGAATTTAATTTGTTAAAACTATAGACGAAACGCAGCGTTTAACAATGTATTTGCAGACTCATGGTGTGCGGGTTGGGCAAGACAGTGCTAAGAAGGCAATAGGTTTCGTTCAGGTAAAGTTTGATCCGTTTTCTTTTTTTTTTTTTCTTTTTTTTTTCCGGTCCTAGCTTTAACTGTTGATTTGTTTTATAATTTGTTATTTCTTTTGTTTCAATTCAAATGTGTAAGAGTATGTTGTAGGTGTGTAAGTTGATTACTTGATTGATATGCTTCTGATTGTTCTTCTGGACTATATTCATATATTGGTGTTAGCTTGGAATCTGTATGTTGATAAGTCATTTATCCCTAAAGCTTAAAATTTTGGCTACAACACATTGATGATTTTTATATTTAACAATATTGAAGAAAAGTAAATTAAAGGCGATGTAGCTAAGAATGAATTTGAAGAGGTATGTATGTTGATAGGTTCCATACCTTCTTGGTAGACTCCATTGTTTGAACTGATATTGTATTTGTATCTGTTATAATTTGGCAAAAATACTTTTTTCTTTTCCTGCTGTTGATATTAGAAAACGGTGGTTTCATGACAGTTGTGTTTATAAGTGCTTTACAGATTATCTTCATGTTACTGGTTTGTAATTGATTTTTTATGGACTTGGTTAGACTATTTTCTCTCAATGGTGCTGGTTTGTAATTGTTTCCATCTTGTAGAAGGGAAGTTGGTCAAGTTGTGTGTGAAAACAGCCAGCTTAGTGGTAGCAATAGAATGTTACTTTCAGTCAACTACTTCCTGTTTTTAAGGATTTGATTTTTTCATACATCACCTGACTAACTTTAGTTTATTGGCCCATCTCTTTGCCTGATGATGTTGACTTTTCCCGTCCTTGGATATACTGAGCTCTCTAGTGAAACCTTTTAAAAAAAACTCTTTGATCACATGAACCTAAAATACAGGCCATAGCAGTTATAGGGAAGGAAGAAGGGATTAGAGGTTACTGGAAGGGAAATCTCCCTCAGGTCAGTACAATTAGGAAAAGATGAATTGGTATTTCTGTATTTATGTTTCCTTATAAACATTGACTAGTCTTTTCATTTTAGGTCTTCATTTTTTATTGTTACAGGTGATTCGGGTTATACCTTATAGCGCTGTCCAGCTTTTTGCTTATGAAACTTATAAGGTGACCCCTAGTTACCTTTTTAAAAGTTCTAACAGCAAATATTACTTGTTCATCTTTGAAGTTGTATTTTTGGATTTACAGAAATTGTTCAGGGGACAGAATGGTGAGCTCTCTGTTGTGGCTAGACTATCAGCTGGTGCTTTTGCTGGCATGACAGCCACTTTTGTAAGTAAATTATCAGAGGGACCTTGCTTTTATTGTAGGTATTTTAATAATTTTACATGGTACAGTTAATACTTATAGCAATTTCTTTTATGTAAAATAATCATTTATGTCCTTTACATTTTACTTCGCTGTATGATGTTCCTGATATTTTTTATATCCTTTTAGATAACTTACCCATTAGATGTTCTGAGATTACGATTAGCTGTTGAGCCTGGTTATCGAACCATGTCACAGGTATGATTGAACTGATTTAGCATTTAAGCAAGATCTTTGTTTGTGAAGATGTATGTGATACGAGGTTCAGAACCATTTTGTGGTTTTTTCAGGTTGCCTTTTGCATGCTAAGGGATGAAGGATTTGCATCTTTCTACAAAGGCCTTGGGCCTTCTCTTATTGCCATAGCTCCTTATATTGCAGTGAATTTTTGTGTTTTTGACTTGTAAGTTCTTTAGCAAATTTGTATTTTTTTTAGTTTGTGGGACAACGGACTTGGACATTGAAATAGAAAAATCCTGACCTTCTATGGGTGATAGATTAAAGAAGTCGTTGCCTGAGAAGTATCAAAAGAGAACTGAAACATCTATACTCACTGCTGTGCTTTCGGCATCTCTGGCCACACTTACATGCTATCCTTTGGACACTGTACGAAGACAAATGCAATTGAGGGATACACCTTATTTGACAATATTAGATGCTTTTTCAGGTAAGAATTGCTCATGTTTATTATTTAGTGTCAGAAATTAATATCACCATATATCCATTTTGCGTGCTATTTTATTTATATAACATCAGAAATCTATAAAACAAATGTTTGAAGAATCTGACTTGTGTATTGTATTATCATTTATAAACTCATCCTCTTATTCATTGGCCCAAGGTATTGTGTTTATAACTCTGCAGCAATTGAGTTGCCTCATCGGTGCCTTTGAATTTAATATTCCCTAAAGTAGACATGTAGGATAATAAATGATTCAGGGTCTTCCGATTCTTAACTCAACAATTAATTATATGATAAATGCAATATAATTGACCATTCCACTGTATAATTACCCCTTAAATATATTTGGTTAACGGGAGGAATCCATACTCATATCGAGGGGGTGCTTTAACATTTACAGACCATAGTCAGCCTGTGTATTTCTCAGTCTACAATTGCTTTTATTTCTGTTTTACCCTGAAAGTTTACTCAATATTTATAATCATGGTTGCAATATAACAACATATTATTGTACATTTATATATACTTGGAGGGTACACTTGATGTTAATTAAGCCATTTGAATTCTGATATTGTAAGGGGGGTTTTGTTTATTATAGTACTCATGTTGATGCAGGAATTCTGGCACGAGATGGAATTGCTGGTTTGTATAGGGGATTTGTGCCCAATGCTCTGAAGACCCTACCAAACAGCAGGTTTATATTTTCTCCTATTGTTTATGAAACTAAGATTATGATGTATTGATTGTGCTACCTTTTAACTACATTGTTATGCTTTCTTGGTATTAGTTCATTACTCACCCTTGTTTCTCTCTTCAGCATCAAGCTTACCTCGTATGACATTGTCAAGCGCATAATAGCAGCTAGTGAGGAAGAATTTCAAAAAATTACAGAGGAAAATCGCAACAAACAAAACAACAACGTCAACAATCAATGAAAGTGAACTTTGAATTCATCTTATTTTAGCTATTTTGCTCCTAATCAATACTCTGTATAGAGCTATTTATTTATTTGTGGGAATAGTTAGCTTATTGGCCAGCAGTAATTACAATCATTCAACTGCCAATGTTTCTGTATGTGCTGGCCAAGAATTTTGTAGAATATATATTTTTGCTTCGCATGCTGTAAGTCTTATTTTCTTTTGATGAGTTCGTCATTAGCTGTAATTTTTCAGAGATGTTTTACTTATCAAACTTGGTGATAGATTATGGAAAACTGTATTCTAGTATTAATAAACTCTCCCTTGCAAACCATTATTTATTCTACATTTTTACCTATAGTGGTATCAGTATGATTGTTATATCACTCTCTCCCATCTACATAAGCATTTATTTACAGATACAAACAAAGAAAAAGAAATAGCAGGCCAGAATTCTTTATCACCAAACGTTGGAAGATGAACGAATTTGAGTACACTTCTAATTTTATTTCTTGGCCGTCATAGCAAACTTCACAGTAAGACAATGCCGGGTAAGTACTGTTTAAAACACTATTACATGTTTATATTTAGATATACTTCTATTGTAGAATTCATATATCATAAAACTGGAGAGTGATCTCTATCTGATAGTAAAAAATAGCATCTTCTCTTAGAGGTGCAGAAGGCATCTCAGTGACTTCCCGGCAATCAAAAGATCAAAGGCTTTGTTTATCTCCTCAAATGGAAGCTCATGAGTGATGAAATTATCCAGCTTTATCACCTAAGAAATTGATTAAAGACATAACAACCAGGTATTAGATCATGCATGATAAGTTTTATGAAGTTGAATAACTTTAGAAGAACATTACTGATTGCACACTAAAACTTATCAAATAATTTGAGTTTGAAGAAATTTCAAGTAGTGATGATCATTACTCCTTGCATGCATTCTGTGGCAAGATTAGGCAACTGACTTTTGCCTTTGAAACCTCCAAACACCGATCCTTCAATTCTGCGACCGGCAAAGAGCTCCATTGGATGGATGGGAAGCAACTTTGGTGATGCATGAATTCCCAACAGTACAGTCAATCCCCAACCCTGCATTTCAAAAATTGACATGAAATTTTTCAGTGCACAATTTTAAACTAGAAAACTGTTTCTGTGATCAGTTTTGAATTGGATCCTGGATCCTTGCTTTCAAATAAGGATGAAGTTTGTCTATGAAGAAAAGTTAAAATACTATTATACTATATGACAATGAGTCTACTGAATTTGTTCTGCTGCTATGAATGCAAATATACCTCGTGAACAGACAAGAAGGCATCTCTTAGAACATTCAAGTTTCCTGTACATTCAAAACTGTAGTCTGCACCTCCTCCCGTAATTTCTCTGATTCTCTGCACATGAATCATTTTGTTAGTGAAAATAAATGTGAAGATTATGATTATATTTTCTATGTGAAAGGAGAGGAGAGAAAACACCAACCTCAGATACCGGTTTCTCTTCATCAGTTGGATTTACGAAATCTGTGATTCCCATAGCTTGAGCTTTGAGCACAGAGAAATACATTTCAGTGGAGGAGAAAGTTTGAGTAAAGTTGTTATGTAAAATAAGTTACCTGTGATGAATTTGTCTGGGTTGATATCCACACCTATTATTTTGGAAGCACCTCGGGCTCGTGCCCCTTCTGCAACCTGGCCAATGTGCAATATAAATTGAGCTTTTTTGAACCCAGAAATTGTTGGTGAGAAGACAAAGACAGTATTAAGTTAAAATCAAAGAAAAAGATGAACATATGCATCAGAAAATGAGAAATCTTACAGCCAGCCCAACTGCACCTAAACCAAAGACTGCTACAGATGAACCAGATTGAACATTAGCAGTGTTCCAAGCAGCTCCAATTCCTACGTTTATTTGAGTTTCAGCAATTCACACTCACATCTATGTAAATTATTCTTGACAACAATTAATACAAAATCATATTTTTTCCCCCTCTAAAATATGTAACATTAATTCTAGTAATGTTTTTTGAATTCAAAACTCAGATAATTAACTATTTTTGACAAAAATTAAAATATTTATTAATTAATTTATTAAGTTTGTTGAAGGAAAATATATAGTTGGTGTATAAGTGTATTTTACAATTTTTACACCAACTATCCTCTTATAAGACCTTTAATTTATTTTTCTTTCTTTTATATATTAGCGTGATTCGTCTTGGAGTTTCTCAAAATAAATAAATGTCTATATAGGTATAAGTTGCATGTGATAAATTTGGTTAAATGGATGGGAGAGTCATAGTTTATAATTTGGTTAAATGTCCATGTGCTATCGGACATCAGATTTATTGCTGACATTTTGTTGATTTTTATGGTAATTGTTCTATGACTCTTCGTTGTAATCTTTTCGATCAGATTTACCATCCATTTTGTTTGACATGCACAAAGAGAAACAACTATGTATTTTGTTTTGCATGACGACAATGCCACTACTGACTCCTTTCTTGAACTCCAAGAAACTGGTGCACCACCTAGCATAAACACATAGCCAACTGTGGATTTTCTATCCTCAACATCACTACACCAACTTGAGTCGATGCATCCCACTAACTTGAATTATTTTCCTTCATCAGCTGCAGGAAACAAAATACCGTAGTCGAGAGTTCCTTTCAGATACCTTAGTATCCTCTCCGTCGCTGTTAGATGTGATACCTTTGACTTCTGCATGAATCTACTCACCATACCTACATTGTATGCTAAGTCAGACCTTTGTGACAAAGGTATCTTAGCAACCCAATAAGTCTTCTATATTGGGTTGGGTCGGCATCATCTTCATATGAATCTTTCGACAGTTGTAGTCTTGGTTCAACTTGAGTCGAAGTTGGGTTGCAATCTTGCATCTCAAATCTCTTGCGTATTTTGCTTGTATATCTTCTTTGGTGCATCATCAAACTTCTACCACTCTTGTAGAAATCGATGCCAAGGAAATATGAGAGATTTTCCAAGTCTGACATTTCAAACTCCTCACTTAGGTTATGTTTGAAGTCTTTGATCTCCTTCTTGCAACTTCCTGTTATTAACAGGTCATCGACATAGAGATATAGTATAAGCAATCATTATTCCTTCTTCTTACATATACTACATGCTCCGTTGTGCACTTCACAAATTTCTTCTCCCTTAGAAAGCTATCTATCTTCTTATTCCAAACTCTTGGAGCTTGCTTAAGTTCATACAGGACTTTATGCAGCCTATACACCTTTCTTTCTTCACATTGTTTCACAAATTCAGCTAGTTGTGCGACATAAACTTCTTCATCTAATGAGTCATTCAGGAATGCACATTTCACATCCATTTGACATACCTGCCAATTGTTCATTTTCGATAGACCAACAACCAACCTGATTGTTTCGATCCTAGCAACAGACCCAAAAACTTCGTCGAAGTCGATTCCTTCTTTCTGAAGAAATCCTTTCGCCATAAGTATCGCCTTGTGTCGAGTTACTTCTCCTTTAACTTCACCTTGTATACCCACTTCACATCAATTGCCTTCTTGTCTTGAGGCAATTCAACAAGTGACCAAGTGTTGTTGACTTCGATGGACTTCAGTTCCTAATTCATTGTTTTCACCCACTTTGAATTTTTCAATGTCTCAGTTGCATTGACTGGTTCAACATCTACATAGAAAGCATAATGTACCAGTTCACCTTCATCGTTGACTACATCATCTTATGTAATCACACATTTTTGCAACCTTGTAAGCATGTGTCTTGTCCGTTGAGGTCTACTTGGGCCTGCTTCACCTCTGACTTCCTCTTGTCAAACTTCTCTTTCGACTTCACTAGCTGGTTCTTCACATAAGATTCTCACTGAATCCTTCTTAACATTCTCAGTCCAATCCCATTCTTTAAGCTCATCTATGATCACGTCCCTGCTGGTACAACTTGTATCCTCCATTCGAACGATATGCTATTAGGATCATTTGACTCGACTTGTCATCAAGTTTTCTTCTCAACTGATCTGACACATATGTATGTGTTATAGATCAAAACACCTTCAAATGACTTACGCTAGGCTTGGCTAGGCTTGACACTAGACCAACATTCTTCTGGTCTAATTCCTTCTAGCCTTTTCGTCGGACATCTATTCAAGATGTATGTTGTAGTCGACACAACTTCTCCCCATAATTCGTTGGGTAGATGCTTGCCTTTCAACATACTTCTCACCATATTCATGATGATTCTATTCTTCCTTTCTGCAGTTCCATTCTGCTGTGGAGTGTAGGGTGGCACCACTTCATGCACAATCCCTTCTTTCTCTCATAATGCATCGAAATCTTTCGACACATACTCTCCACCACCATCAGTCCTCATAATTTTTAGCTTTCGACCACTTTGTCTTTCGACGATAGATTTGAACTTGGAAAATACCTCGATCACTTCACTTTTCTTCTTGATCAGGTAAGTCAACAATTTTTGACTAAATCATCTATGAAAGTGAAAAAGTATCTGTTATCTCAATCGAATTCACCTGGGTAGGACCACATACATCAGAGTATATGACTTTAAGAATTGCCTTCAGTTTGTTTCCTGCATCCTTGCTGAAGTTGTTCTTATGCTGCTTCGCCTTAACACATTCTTCACACACTTCACTTGGAATGTCAATTTCTGGTAATCACGAAACTATATTTCTTATCTTCAAATCTCTAACGTCTTTGAAATTGTGATGACCAAGTCTATAATTCCATATTCAGTCATCTCTGCTGGCTGCAGTTGCAAGGAACTTATGCTCCACCATATTAAGTTCAATCTTGAAGGTTTTATTCTGAAACGTTGGTGCTTTCAAGATTAACCTACCACATGAGTCGAGAATTCTCATCGTCTTGTCTTCGATCGACACCTTGTAGTTCTTTTCGACTAGCTGCCATATGCTGAACAAATTACTCTTCATGCCGGGTATGTACAATACATTGGAAATTACTGACCTCTTGCCATCTTTCCTCATAATCAGGACATCGCCAATATCTTTAACTGCTAGAGTATTGTCATTTGCAAATTTCACCATGTTCTTCATTGAGAGCTTTATGTTGATAAACCAATCTTTCCTACCAGTCATGTGTGATGAGCATCCTGAGTCCAAGTACCATTGGTCCTGAAATCTTTCTTCATCTCTTGTTGTGACCATCAACAAAACTCTCTTCTTCTTCTTCTTCTTCTTCTTCTTCTTCTTCTTCTTCTTCTTCTTCTTCTTCTTCTTCTTCTTCTTCTTCTTCTTCTTCTTCTTCTTCTTCTTCTTCTTCTTCATGTTTCGCCAGCTTTGCATCATTTTCTTGATTCTTTTTTTCTTCTAGACAATCACTAAAATAGTGACCATACTTCTGACAATTGTAACACTGAATGTGACTTTTGTCAGCTTTTCGACCACCACCTCTTCCTTTACCTGCAACACTACCTCTTTGGTTGCTTTGGCTCCAGGGTTTTCTCTGGTTCGACCAGTTTCTTTCTTGTTGATTTCACTAGTCGAATTGTTGTAGTCTCCTCTGCCTTTGTTGCCATTCCAACTTCCTTTGCCTTTCTTTTCTTTTGCTGATTGCACCTGCAAAGCCACATCACTCTTCGACTTACCTGTAGCTCTTTCAACCATCCTTTGTTCATGAGATTTAGGAGTCCATTGAAGCTCTTACTTTGTCAATATTGACAAATATTTCGACTCTTCTATGGCTAGTACCAGGTGGTCCAATTTTCAATCCAATGACCTTAAGATCTTTGCAACAACTGATCTTGATGTCAACACTTCTCCACATACTTTGATTTGATTCACCAATTTAGTAATCCTAGTGAAGAACTCAGTTATGCTTTCACTTTTTTCCATCTGAAACAATTCATACGTCCTTTTGTAAGTTTATAAACTCACATCTTTCACCTTCTATGCGCCTCCAAACGATTTCTCCAAGATTTCTCATGCTTCTTTTGCTAATTCTACATCAATAACCTTTTCAAAATTATCTGAATCAACGCATTGATGAATTATGAAGAGAGTTTTTAATCTTTCTTCTTCAATTCTTTGTATGCAGCCTTTTCTTGATCTGTCGCGTTTTCTGCAAGCTGTGTTACTCACTCCTTCACAAGATCCCAAAGATCTTGATAACAGAAAATCACCTTCACCTGCTTGCATCAATTCTCATAATTATTATTATTGAGAATCAGAAAACTCGCTGACAAATGCCCCTTTGGATGATTCATTGCCATCATGATTTTCTTCCCACAAATCGCTTAGTCAGTGCTCTAGATATCAGATGTTGGAATTAACCCAAAACTTTGAGAATTTTGAATAAATCTTGATGAACAAGATTCAACCAACCTGATCGAAATCCCTTTTTCTTCCCAAGTGAAACAATCACACCTTGATTGCAAGAATGATTCTGCGTAGCAATTATCAATGAAAGAAGAAAGAAAGAAAATAGAATAGGAAAGAAGATTAGGGTTTAACAAAATAAGGGAAGAGAATAATGATTTCTGCAGAGTAACTCTCTACTCTCAAACTGAGAAAAAAATTATTCAACTGTGCAACTGCACTTTCTGTTGTATGTTACAATATTATTCTCTATTCTTCTTACTCAGAATAGGAGTTACTCTCTCTATTTATAATTGAGCTACCTTGGTCTCTAAGGTAAAGCCCCAAAAACACAAAAGTCCAAAATTTCTATTTTGATCTAAGTCGAAATCCTGTGTCAAGCAACCTCTTCGACACTTCGACATTTAACCCTACTCGACACACACTACACTAGGCTAATTTCGACACATCCTTGTTTCTGTCGAGCTACACCTGCTTCGACACAAGAAATTATATTCTCAACAATATCTACGAAGATTGAATTTTTAAAAAACTTCTATATTTTTTAGATCAAAATTATGACCCCTAGTATTTCGTTATTATTATTATTATTATTTAAACATACATTTTGCATCTTTCTTTTTCTAAAAATAAAAACACATCTTACATCAATAAAAAAACAAAAACACTTCTGATTATGAAAACATAACCACTAGTTTTCTAATTGAATGAAAAACATGTTACTAATTAAAATATAGTAAAGTTGAACAGTAATTACTATAGACACAACGAACAAAGATAATGGTTGTTGTGATGATGAGAACAAAAAAGATGAGAAATGGAGGAGATAAAGAGAATGAGAAAAGAAGAAGAGGAAACGATGTATACACGATATGTAATGAGTGCATTTTTTAGGACTAAGTATTTAGTAGGGATGACAATTGTACCCATATCCAATCGACACCCACAAAAAATACCCACATCAGATAGGATAAAAACCCGCAAAATAGATAGTGACGTACGCACGTGTAATTATCCATTAAAAGAATAGGTATGAATCTGCTTAATATCCACCCGCCCCATACCCGTTTAATGTATATTCATATATTTTAATTTATATCATCACATAAAAATGTATCTCTATCTCTTTAATAAAATACATCACGATTAAACTATTAATATTTACTTATAAAATCTAAACTATGTAATACTTAATATTTACTTACATTATTTTTAATATATTTATCTCACATTTATTTGAAATTATTTTATAAAGTATGAAATAATTTTATAGTTCATAGTTCTTTTTGAAGTTGACCAGATAAAAAAAACTTATAATCTAATAATTAAATAATAAAATTTAAAACTTATAATCTAATAATTAAATAATAAAATTTATTATACATAATGAATTATCAAATAGAATAACTCACACTAGACCTACTCTTAAAATTAATATATTTTCAAGCTGACAATTAAGAATATGTAAAAATAGTAAAACCAAGCAGTATTTTATGTAATCCTCTACTTTCATTGGATACGAAAAGTCACACTACTCTTTCCACAAATTAATAAAGAAAATTAATATTAACTCGTGTTATATAAACACCAATTAAAATTTTAATTATAAAATGTTTATTTAAAAGATTGTGTTATTCAATATTTTTTTAAAATAAAAATACTATACTATGTAATGAAATATTGAAACTGTTAGAGTTTTAAAAAAAATGACAAAGTAGAGAGAAAAGAGAGAATGAGAATGTTAATGAACCGTCAAAACTCCTAACTATGAAAACTATATTTTAAAACTACAATAATAATAATGCCTATTTATAAACAATTAAACTTCGAATTCAAAGCATACACAATTATATTTCAACAGAACAATTATATATTAAATTCGATTACGTCAAATACATTTGACTCTATAGTTTCAACTATGTTACACGCGAATGTTGAACACAAACTAAAATATTACATATTCTATTTTGAAAAACTTTTATTTTTAAATTCTTTAGTAAGATCCTTAAAAGAAACATTCAAGATTCTATTCCTATACGCAAACAAAAATGGTTTTGACTTAAAAAATAAGATCGGGATCTGACAGACTTGAAAAAATACATTCAAATTCAAACATTGACTATCAAATAAAGTATTCAAATAAATATAAAAGAACTTTTCCTACGAGGAAAAAAATAGAAATAAAAACAAACAAGGTAACGTGAAGTTGCAGGCTTCAAACAAAATGACAAAATTTTCATTTTCTCATTTTTTTATTTCCCCTATTTTCTGGACATTCTAGATGCTAATTATATCATAATATTATACTAAATAATTTTCTTTTGTAAAGACCAAAGATCCTGCTCCAGCAAATTTTCAGATACTGACTTGTTGCTAAATATTTTCAAGTTGTAAAATTCCAAGTGTTTTTAAACCACCTATCACATCCAATTGAAAATTAATTTTCCTGTCTTCTTAATTTCATGTTTTGCTTCTAGAAGAAATAGATTTTGTTGTGTGTATTGTTTTAAATGATGTTTAACATTATTTTACAAAGGCAAAAAGTCAATTTTTTAAGAAATTGGGTATATTTGGATAGTGGAAAACTTAGTTTCTTTTTTTATTTATTAAGTTTTTAGAGTTATTATTTTATACACTGTTAAATTTATTTTTAACAAAAGATGTGAAACAAAAGTTTGAGTGAATAGTAGAAAAGAATGTTGATGTATGTTGATGTATGTAATGTGATTAATATTATAAAAGTTTGGATTGAAATGTGTCGTCTCTTATTTTGTGGTGTTTCTTACTTTCTTGAACTCTCCAACATATATTTCAAATAAAAAATTTAATTATTCTTACATGGAAAATAATTTTTTTAAATATTTTCATAAAATTTTCATTTATTACTAATGTAAATGTTTTATTTAAAATAGAGTTAAATATGTTTGTGATTATTCTAAATATCTCAAATTTTTTCAAAATATTTATTTCAAAAAATGTTCTAATTAAAGTTTTTTATCCATAATTTTTATCCCTTAAAATTTTAATAATTAAACTATTAAAAAAATACTATTTTTTAAATAAATATAAAAAATACAATTGAGTAAAATTCAGATTATTAAATTATTTAACGATAAAAAATAACTTTCAAAATCTAAAAAATAGTCTTTCTATCGTGTGTCTCAGAATACTCTTTAAAAATTCCAAATAAAAAATATTTTATAAATAATTAATAATTTCAATTTCTAATATATTAAATATGATATTTAAAAAAAAAAAATTTACTAAAAACTTGAATATTTCAGATGAAAAAAGAGATGGTTTACTGTTAATATATATATATATATATATATATATATATATATATATATATATATATATATATATATATATATATATATATATATATATATATATATATATATATATATATATATATATATATATATATATATATATATATATATATATATATATATATATATATATATATATATATATATATATATATATATATATATATATATATATATATATATATATATATATATATATATATATATATATATATATATATATATATATATATATATATATATATATATATATATATATATATATATATATATATATATACACACCGTTAAACTCATTTCAGATTTTCCAAAATGTAAAACTGTGTCCGTGAGCATTAATATTATAAGATAAGGTAAGATGTGGGACACAACACGTCACAACGGACAACATTAAATGTTTTGAAAATTAAATTTCAACTCCCATCCCCAACAAGCAAGGTAATAAGAGGCCCACGCATTAAAACTATGTTAGTAAAAGATTCTTAATAATGTTTAAAATAACACTCCTATGATCAAATCCTTTTATTTTATTTTAGACAAATTCTTATACATTTTATCATATCCTTTTTTTTATTTAATAATTGATCATATGCATTACATAATTTATACATATTAATATTAATAAAATTAGGTATTTAATATTTTCTATATTGAACTTTCCTCTTAACTTTTAGTTAAATAATATAAGAATAATACTAACTTGTCTCTTTAAGAGACAAGTTAAAATACCTAAAATTAAAAAAAAAGTTTATTTAAAAAATAATTAAATAATTAATTATAAATTTATATTAAATTTTTTATATATTTTTAAATTTTTTCTCTATATTCTTTAGAGCACAAGTTAGTATATTACCCGTAATATGAAAGTTGTATATTATATTATATTATATATATATATATATATATATATATATATATATATATATATATATATATATATATATATATATATATATATATATATATATATATATATATATATATATATATATATATATATATATATATATATATATATATATATATATATAATTTTTAAATACTTTAAAAATGAATACAATAATTTGCACTCAAATCTTAGATAGAAAGAAGAGCATTAATAATAGAAAATGACCTAAAATAATTATGTGGAGCATAGTGTTTGTTTGATAGTAGAAAATGAACATAGTAGTAATAAACCACTCCATCTATTTATATAAGTGGTGTTAAAATCCACACAGATAGATGGTCCATTTAGCTATTCAATATTTAATGTTTATGCACGCAATAAATAAATACAAATAATAGTAGTAAATAACAACATAAATTAAGCAATATTTTCTCAAAAATGCACAAATTATTACCTGTTGAAACTCCACAACTAAGCAAGGTGAGATTTTTGAGGCTAAGTGTATATTGAGGATTGATCTTAACAACACAAGCTGAATCCACCACAGTATACTCCGTGAAAGTTGAAGTGTTCATAAAATGGAAAATAGGTTTACTACCATCTTTTGTAAAAAACCTACTTGTTCCATCACACATTTCCTTCTTCATTGGGTCTACTCCAAATTTCTCACACATGTTGGTTTTCTCACACGTGCAGTACACACACTCACCACATTCTCCGTTGAATATTACAACCACATAGTCCTTTTCTTTCATGTCACTCACTCCTTCTCCTACACTCTCCACAATCCTACAAAAAATATTGTTCATCTTGGTTTGTTATCAATAATCACGCAGTTATCGATCTATGATTAAGAAAATTTGCATACCCGGAGGCTTCATGACCGAAAATTCGAGGGAAAGCACGTTGAGGTTCGCACTATAGTTGATGAAAACAAAAGAATAAACTATCAAAACAAGAAGTTGTATGAACTAACGGTGTGTGTTTATATATTTAATTACCTCGCCTTGCCAGCCGCTGAGATCGGTGTGACAAATGGAAGTATAGAGAATTTTGATTCGAACTTCCATTTTCTGAGGAGGATGGACAAGAATTTCTTCTACCACAAAGGGTTCTCCTGGACCATATGCCACAGCGGCTAATACAGCATAATAACATCATAATTAATTATCATTCATTAAGATTATTCAATAAGCTCTTTGACAAGTACTTACCTTTGCAAGTAATGGTCTTTCCTTTGGTTTCAGTTGAGTGGTTTGATGATCTATTTGCAGCTTCTGTAGGTGCCATATTCTAATTTTTTGGAACCAATTTGAAAGGTGCTGACCTGAGAATGAATTGGAACAAAAGAGAATTCATGTCTTACATATATAGTATAAGAGAGAGAGAGAGAAAACATAAGATATGGTAATTTAAGGAAATAAAAGTAAATAATGTAAGGTGATATACTTTACGAACTTACCTTACCCTATGTAAACTATAGAACTAGACCAATGAAGTAGTACTGTTACGTGTGAATTGCGGCACTTTACATTTAGAGAAAAAAATGATTTTATAGTCTATACAATACAATAATGTACTTTTTTTATGAGTCAAATAATTGACTTTTGAATGAGTAATTTTATTTGTTTGGAGGAGAGTTTTATTAGGCTGAACAACAGTTTGAATTTGTATATAAAAAAATAGTGAAAGAAAAAAAAGAGCCGGTAAATTGTACTTATCTAGTATTTAATAGATATCTCTATCTATAGTCTGGCCATCGGGGTCACTCACTGTCAGCATATGGACCCTTTGGTTATTGTGACAATTAATGGGCGGCTTATTTAGAATGGATATATGTAAGTATTTCATCCCTCATTAAAATGGATATATGTAAGTATTTCATCCCTCATTAAATATGAAAACAAGATCATCTCGAGCATCTTAAAGATTGCCTGCCCTAAAGCCATATATCTGTTCGGAGAGATTTTTCAACTAGAGAGCATTGAATATTGTGATACTTTTTTTTTAAAGCAACACCTTTGTGTGAGACACATACTTTTAATACAAGTAAGTCGTTCCCTTTTTACTTAAAAAAAAGGCTCATAATACCTAACTGACATCGAGACCAACTGGTCAACACCCTGCTGCCAATGCCAATATTAAATAACAGCTGCACACTCAGCAACTTCACCTGAATGCGCTTACCAGAATGACTCCACTCCAAGCCAGTAGCCAAATCCCCCCACAAACCAGTCCAACTGAATAAGAAAATGATGGCAACAATGGTGAAAAGCAAAAACAGAATTAGCCGTAATCTGGGATGCCGAGACAAACTTTAGGATTTGTGCACCACACTATTAAATCATCTTTAATAATATTTGATTTTATTTTGAGCCATTTCCACGCTGTCACTTTCGATTCTTCTACAATTTGCTCGATACTACTTACTGCATTGCGAAATGCGAAATACTCTGTCATTCCTACTTTTCCATATGTTCCACACACAAGCAGTCCAAATGGCCCTCATTTTAAGGTAAAATCTCTACCTCCGACTCCCAAGTTTTTGAACTGCTCCATATGCATTCAACCTTCTTTTGAAAAAATTGTTTGCACCCCAATCCACTGACAGGTGAAGCTCCAAGCACCTGCAGAATTAGAACACTAAAAAAATGTGAGAAACCGTCTCCTCGTTACCACACTCTCCCGAACACCCAACCTGACACGAAGACATCACTCCCCTCTTAGTTAAATTTACTCTTGTAGGAATTTTGTTCTGAAGCATCCTCCATAACAAGCACGTCACTTTTAGCGGAATTTTCTTATTCCAAATCTTTGTCCAAGTTTATTAAATACCGGATACTTGATGGACATAAGATTTTTGTATCCTATAAATTAAAAGATTAATTTTTACATTCTATAATATAAACATACATTATTAAAAATAAAAAAAAATTACATTTTTTCTAAAAATGACATCTCAAAAATAAATTTTATGAAAAATTATTTAATAATTTCGTGATTTATTATAAATTTTAATAAGATAAAATATATAAAATAACATTTTAAGTAACAAACAAACTAATATTTCATTTGAAGTTTTTATTAAAAAATTATAATTTTTTAAAAATAAAAAATACAATACTATAAAAATCATTAAAAGAAATTAAAACAAATCAGTCATAAATAATTATTAACCAGATTATTTATAAATGGTTCAATTATCCATTAACATTTTATTTTTGGATTTGATTAAACTTTGATTTTTATCCAAAACCTAAAGTAAAAACTCATTATTTCAATTCAGTTTTAAATTTTATTTATTGTTGGTCGGATTTAAATCTAATCAAACTCTACTAGATTTTGGACATCAATATCACATAAATTGAATGCATTTTTTTTTTAATTTTAAAAAAAATACATGTTTAAGATTAATGTTATTGTAGTTGTATTTGAATAAATTTATATACAATCTTCTTGCAATTTGCAAAACAAATAACTAGATATAATAATCAAAAGAACATATTTTTGATAATATAAGTTTTTAGAAATAAATTATTTGGTTATTGTTCTGGATCAGAAACATAATTATTTGAGTTATAATGATGGATTGTGAAATATAAGGTGGACTTGCAAAATTAATACTCTAAATTCTAAGTTAGTGAATGAGTTTAAGAAAAGGCTCGAGTGAAGTATGAAAAATGTGCTTGTATACTTAGCCTTATGCATGTGGATGCATATACATATTTAGCTTAAGTAACTATTAGACTTTCTTTGGAACAGTAGTTATGTCTTCTTTGTTAGGTATTTGACAGATTGTTTATCATGAAAATTGATAAATAATCGTTGATCTTTCAAAATTTTGGTTTACTTGTAGGATCAACCAGTAAATCCTGAGAACATAACTATTGTATTAATGTATTTCTGTAAAATTGATGAACACTTCGACAACATTCATTGGTTTAAAAGATTGTTTTGATTGTTATTGAAAAGATTAAATTTTGTAAAAGTTGATAAAGGAAATGCAATGAAGAAAAGAACTTCAAAGTAAAAAAAATGCAGTAAAGAACAATTGGTAAAAGGAAAGTAAATTTCTATTGAATTCAATATGGTGTTTCAACGTACATTTCTCAATAGTAACTCTTTTCTCACTCTGACTTGGATACTTTGAGTAAATTTTTAGTACAGTACAATAATTGAACACACGAAAATCCTAATACTAAGACCCCTATTTATAATACGTCGAAATAACTATCTCCAACAAGCATTTCTCCAAAAGTTAACAAGTTTCGCTCTGCATGCCTTCGTTTCGCCATAGTTCTCCATGCGTCTCCCCTGAGAAAATGGATAAGGACAAAAGACAGTTATCTATCCGTATTTTGAAATTCAAACTTCCGTCGAAGAAAGACTCCAAAGCATCCATTCGTCGAAGTAACCTTCTACACTTAGAAAATATTTCTAAGTCTTTGTCTAAGCATGTCTCCTTAAGACAACATACAAGTTTGGACACACTTTTGATCACTTTGCAAGCCTTATCTCTGCACAAGGTCAACATGAATCTTGTAGTATCCCATAATATCTTCAAGATGATACCAAATTTTCTGAAGTTCTATCCCTTTGCATAGTAGAAAATCTCATCCCAAGGCACAAACTTAAGTTTTATTTTAATGCATTAAGTGAAATGCCACAAAGTCAAGAAACTTGATTACCAAGACAAGGATTGGTTCTAAACATCAAGACTAAGGTCACAATCTGAATGGTGGTGATTTAAATGGCAAAGATATCATCTTGCTTAGAAGCAAAGCTACTTGGACTTTGCATTCATGTCTTGAAACATGATATAATACATTGGATAATAAGATGCATCCCAATCCAAAATTTACTCAAAGAAAATCAACTTGTTTTACTATAAATAGAGGCCATTTTTTATCATTTCAAAGACACACAATACAAGCACAATACCTTAAAGCCTCTATACATCAAAATTGCACACTCTAGCAAATTTCAAAAACCTGTAAAGTGAAAACGTGAAATTCAAAAACCAGTCCATAAATCTTCATTCTAACACTTCAACCACATCTCATACCACATATATAAGCTTCTGAAACACTCTAAACATCATCAAGTCATCCATAACCATAAATTGAATCTTCACATCACCATTGTTGCATTACTTGCAAGAGCAATCAAGTTCTTCATTGCAAACACTTTCCACACCACTTATCCATCCAAACACTTCCTAAACACTTAATAGAAATGATCCAAATAATCTAAACACTTCTGTAACTACTCAAACACTTCCATCATATCTGACTTGCTCAAACTGCAGTTTGATTCATATAGGCAGTTCCAGAAGGTTTCAATCCAATTCAACCACTTCAACACATTCCTTGGCCTCTAAGGAAGCTTTTAGGATCATCACTTTGCTTCTGTAACAGCTCCAAAGCAAAATTCAATTTTTAAGTGCCCGTCGACGAAGATTGTCCACTTGTGATCTGGCAAGGTAATCTCTGCGATGAAGTCAGCCAGTTCCTGAGCCTTTAGGGTCTTTCTGCTCTCATATTGTATGTCGAACTCGGACAGTTCCAGCGACCACTTGAGTATTCTACCGGCCATGTCTGGACGGCTCAATAGTTGCTTTACGGGCTGGTCCGTGCATACCACGATTGTGTGGGCCAAAACGTAGTGACTTATCCTTCTTGCAGCGTTGGTAAGGGCTAGGGCCACTTTCTCTATCTGCTGGTATCTCAGTTCTGGTCCTTGCATCATTTTGCTCATGAAGTATATGGGCTTCTACCCATCGGGCGTTTCACGAATAAGGGCGGTGCTGACGGCCTCGGTCACAACGGTGAGATAGAGATATAAGGTTTCCCCGTTATCTGGCCGGGAGAGGACCGGTGGTTCTGAAAGATCTTGTTTCAGGTGGAGGAGGGCTTTGTTGCATTCCTCTGTCCATTCAAAAGTCGTATCCTTGCAGAGGAGTTTGAAAAAGGGGAGTGTGCGTTGAGCAGATTTTGCCACGAAACTGGACAGCGAAGCGAGCATCCCGTTTAGGGATTGGATGGAATTCTTTAAGTTCAGCGTAGGGAACTCAAAGAAGGCTCTGCACTTGTCGGGGTTAGCTTTGATTCCTCATTCTGTTAGATAGAAGCTGAGAAACTTGCCTGCTCGTACCTCAAACGTGCACTTCTCCGGGTTGAAGCGCATCCTGTACTTCCTGGCCTGCTCGAAGACTTTCTTCAAATGGATCGTATGATCGGATTCCTCATGGTATTTCAATATCATGTCGTCCATATAGGCTTCGAGCATAT